CTGGGCCGGGCGTGGAACTGACTGATTGTTTTTCTGTCTCCTGCCCAATGGTGCTGCAGGGAAGTGCCGCGGGCTTCGTACGGCCAGAAAGCTTCGCAGCCACCGTCGTGATCAGAAATGGCACGACAAGCAATACAAGAAGGCGCATTTGGGCACTGCCCTGAAAGCCAACCCCTTTGGAGGAGCGTCTCATGCCAAGGGCATTGTTCTAGAAAAAGTGTGAGTGAAATCAAGTGTCTTCACAGCACCTCGCATTAGGTCTTGTACTTCTTATCGTGCTTAGATCTGGTAGGATTGCTTTGATCCACCTAATAACATGTTCAGAATGTATTTTCAGCCCATGTCAATTTAGGTGCAGTTCCATTTTCAAAAAAGTAACCATGACTTCTGCACCATTAGTTGCTGTACAGCTGCTCTCCGAGTTACCAACCAACACTTGGTCCGTAACTCGGACTGTTCATAACTCAGATCCCATAGAGTTACATGGCGACCGCGCTGTTCGTAACTCGGGTCTGCATTTATGACCGCTTTGGTCATAAGTGCGGATGATCATAAGTGGAGGTGGCCGTAAGTCGGGGAGCGGCTGTATTTATTTGAAGTTAGTTGGGGCAGAGTTTCAGGCTTTGTCTTTGTGTGAGTACAACTCATATGCTCTTGGAGTTTAGTTGGAGAAATTCACTCCAGCTTCTGAGAGTAGTTGTTGAAGTTTATTGTAGCTATGCCCAGCTCTGGGACTTATTTATCACACCTTATATTTTGGCAACCAGAATTATTTCTGCATCAGTGAATTGCCTTCTGCATTATGAGTGATTGTCACATTCACTTGTAGCTAGGCACAGTTGGTGTTCAGAGGTCTTAGTCTATTCTGTTCATTCCTTTGGGGGCAACTGGCATTGGCTGCTGTTGGAAGACAGGATACTGGGCTAGACCATTGGTCTTGACTAAGTCTGGCCATTCTTATGGTTTTATGTTTATGCTTGATTTCTGCACAGATTTGTTTTGGAAGTGATTTAATCAGGTTATTTTTTCTTAAAGAGTGGAATGTTTCTTAAATGTTGAAGGTTACATTTAAGAAGCTGTGACGCTAAATAAGAGTGTGTCTGGTTTTCAAAAGTGCTAAGTCTTCTCTGTTCCTGTTGAGATCAATTGGAGAAGTAAACGTTCAGAATTTTTGAAAATCAGACTCATTGTAAAAGTCCACTGGTGATGTTTATACTATTTTATTTCTGAGGATTTTCTGAATAAAGTCTTTTTTTGTGTGTGTTTTAGGAATTTTTTGTATGGTGCGTTTTTGTTTTTTTGTTAAATGATTATTATGCATTAAATAATCTTTTGCTGTTCCAGAAGGGGCAAGGCCTCAAGTGGAAGGGGCGGAGCCATGATGCTTCCAGGCTTCCCCACCCACAGACCACGATTGGACTGGGAGTGAGGGAGTCCCTCCCCCCCCTCCATCCCCATGATCCTCTAGGCACCCATGCCCCTGTTGGTGGGAGGAGAATTTGTGTGCTCTCCCAGGCCAATCACAGTTTGGGGGCCGAGGAGTGCTCAAAATTTCTTTTCACCCTGCCAGGAGCGTGTGGCGCTTCTAAGTGCTGCCCGCTCTTGGCAGGGCAGAGGAAATTTCATGTATTCCCCCCTCCCCAGACCCTGATTGGCCTGGGTTTGGGGAAGCATGTGAAGACTCCTTCTGCCCTGCCAGG